CTAAAGACACGGTGTAAATAATAGTAGGATTAAAATATAATTATAATCCTAACATTATTTAAATTTATTTTTTAATTAGATAAAAACACAAATTTATTATAAAATGTTGGAGTTCTCACAAAACTCTGAACGAAAACTCGCTTTTACTTATATAATATATAGCTAGATAGATAGATGTGTCTAGCATACATACAATATTGCTTTCGCTTATATAATTATATGCAAATTGTATGTATGCCCATAATGTCTTAGTGTATTACAGGCATACATACAATGTATGGAAATATATGTAAAATATATAAGGTGAAATCATGGGATCATGGAAGGATGAGTGAGAAAAGGAAAAAGTAAGAGAAAGAAGCGGGAAAATAAAAATGTACATGTAGGATATTTATGCAAAATATATCTCAGCCGTTGTTTTATAATTTGAATACATCTAAGCCGTCCAAATGTCCTAGTAAGATAAATGTGTATAGGACAAATTCAAAAATCATCTTACTTTATTATATAGATGTTGAAGATTCATATAAGGTTTAAATTTATGAAATCTATCAGGTATTCAATATATTTAAAAATAATAATTAATTGTTCAAATTCATTTAATTTGTGGACTATAAAATTCATTAATTTAATCTCCACTACACACAGTAAAAAATTTGGCTCCTAATTCTAGGATCATAGACTTTTCTATATAATAGGAATAAAAATAAGTGAACAAAAAGGAAAAAAAAAAAAAATACACAAGCAGAGAGAATAATAAAAATGGGAGAAATAAAAAAATAAAAAGAAAAGAGAGAGGCAGGTAAGATCATGGGATCATGGATGAGAAAAGGAAAAAGTAAGGGAGAAAAGCGGGAAAATAAAAATGTACATGTAGGAGATTTTTTGCAAAATATATCTCATCCGTTATTTTATAATTTGAATACATCTAAGCCGTCCAAATGTCCTAGTAGGACAAATGTGTGTAGGACAAATTCAAAAATCATCCTGATTTATTATATAGATGTTGAAGATTCATATAAGGTCTAAATTTATGAAGTCTATCAGATATTCAACATATTTAAAAATAATAATTAATTGTTCAAATTCATTCAATTTGTAGATTATAAAATTCATTAATTTAATCTCCATTACACACAGTAGAAAATCTGGCTTCTAATTCTGGGATTGTAGACTTTTCCATATAATATGAATAAAAATAAGTGAACAAAAAGAAGAAAATAAAAAAAATACACAAATAGAGAGAATAATAAAAATGGGAGAAATAAAAAAAATAACAAGAAAAGAGAGAGGAAGGTGGGATCATGGGATCATGGAAGGATGGGTGAGAAAAGGAAAAAGTAAGAGAGAGAAGCGGGAAAATAAAAATGTACATGTAGTATATTTTTTGTAAAATATATCTCAGCCGTTATTTTATAATTTGAATACATCTAAGCCGTCCAAATGTCCTAGTAGGACAAATGTGTGTAGGATATCTATATAAATTAATGAATATGTCCTAGTAGGACAAATATGTCTAAATGTCCTACCATTTCTTGTTTTCTATCATCATAACTACATTCTAAAACTTTCCATCATTAATTTCTATCCAAATATATTCTTATTGAGTGATGATATACAAATATAAATTTTATATAAAATTTTCAAACACAATGATATTGCTTAATGATGTCCTTTCACTTTAAAACAAAACACTCATAAACATGATTTGTATTTGCAATAATATTACTATCACAATATTTTTTGTATAAATTTTATATATGAATATAATTTTTCATTTTTGTTTCTTCCATTATATTTAGATTAGATCAATTTAATTTAAATATATTTAAAAAATATAAAATTTGTACATTTTTTTTTATTTAAAAAATCATTGAATACAACAAAATAAGATAATGTATTGAATTTTGTATTTTTATATTTGGTGAATTTAAAAAAATCACAAAATATTATACTTCTTAAGTATATCTAGATATGTGCATCTAAAAAATAAAAAAAATTACTTAAAATATTAAAAAAATTCAATAAAAATGAAATACAAAAAAAATAAAAAAATTAATTTTTTGTGTGAGTTAAACCAAATAAAATACTTGTTATTTTTCTTGAAATGACATGAATAAAATATTTATATTATTTTATTATTTTATATGTATAAAGGTTAAGAGGTAAATATATTATTTTAATCTTTATAAGTGTAATTTTTTAAATATAAAAAATTTGTATTAAATAAAAACATAAGAAATGTCAATGTAATTTATACTTCATTTTTTAAACTTTTATAAAAAGAATTATAATTTAAAGATAATATTTTATTTTTAATCTAGGGAGCTTTTTTGATAAATCCATTTTCTAAGAGCTTTATTCCATCCAACCCATATTCTTTTTTACTATTCCACTAGGTCTTATTTGAGATAAGAAGACCAAAATACCATTTTCATCTACTTATGTTCCATTTAGTTCACATTATTTTCTTATGTTTTAATGAGCCCTATGGGTGACATAATTACCAAAATACCCCTAATGTGAATGTTCACACCGTCAATGTGAATGTTTATATCGTCAATGTGTAGGGGCCCGGCCTATGTCGATCCTCGTGGGTGCTCAGAAAAATTCGAGTCGGGCCGGGGCGAGCCCGGCCCATTGACAATGTGAATATTTACATTGGCATGTTAACATTCACATTAATAGGAGTGTAAAATTGGCCCGTGTCCCGTGGCGGTGCGAAACCCGCCCGCGGCCCATGGGCGGCCCGATCCGGCCCGATCCGGCCCGTTGACAATGTGAACATTCACATTGACATGTTAACATTCACATTAATAAGAGTATAAAATTGGCCCGTGGACCATGGACGGCCAAAAACCTGTCCGCGGCGGGTCTGGCCCAGCCCGTTGACAATGTGAATATTCACATTGACATGCTAACATTTACATTGATAGGAGTGTAAAATTAGCCCGCGCCTCATGGCTGCCCGAAAACCCACCCACGGCTCGTGGGCGGCTCGGGGCGGGCCCGGCCCGATCTGTTGACAATGTGAATATTCACATTGACATGCTAACATTCACATTGATACGAGTATAAAATTGGCCAGCGGCTCAGGACGGGCCCAGCCCGACCCGTTGACAATGTGAATATTCACATTGACATGTTAACATTCACATTGATATGAGTATAATATTAGTCCGTGCCTCATGGCTGTCCGAAACCCGCCTACGGCCCATGGGTGGCCCAGGGCGAGCCTGGCTATTTTTTTTTAATTCTTTTTAATTTTTTCTACCAAAATTTTATTATTTTCCACAAAAAAAGACACTAGGCCTCGGCGCGGGCCGGGCCTCGGACCGAGCCTTGAATGGGCCTTAACCGGGCCGATGGGCCGGGCTGGGCTTCAAAGCGATGGCCCAGGCCCTAGCCTAGGGTCTCGGATTAGGCTCGAGCCTGGGCCTAAACGAGCCTTTCCCGGGCCGGCCCACGGGCCAAAAAATTAGGCCCAGGCCCTAGCCCTGGCACAAGGGTATTCGGGCTTTGGACAAGCCGATGGATCGAGCCTCGGGTCGGGTCGGTGGGCCTGGGCCTAGCCCTGAGTTTAGGTCTAGCTTGGGCGGGCCTGGTCATTTTTTTTTAATTCTTTTTAATTTTTTCTACCAAAATTTTATTATTTTTCACAAAAAAATACATTACGCCTCGGGCGGGCTGGGCCTTGGACCGAGCCTTGAATGGGCCTTAAGTGGGCCGATTGTCCGGGCCGGGCTTCAAAGTGATGATCTAGGCCCTAACCTAGGGTCTCGGACATGCTCGGGCTCGGTCCGAAACGAGCCTGCCCTGGGCTGTGGGCGGGCTTCGGGCAGCTCACGAGCCGCAGGCCAATTTTACATTCCTATCAATGTGCATTTTAACATGTCAATGTGAATATTCACATTGTCAACGGACCGGACCAGGCCTACCCCGGGCCGCGGGCAAGCTTCGGGCAGCGGACAAATTTTACACTCCTATCAATGTTAATGTTAACATGTCAATGTGAATATTCACATTGTCACGGGTCGAGCCAAGCCCGCCTCTGGCTGCGGTCAGGCTTTGGGCCGCCCAAGGGCTACGGGCCAATTTTATATTCTTATCAATGTGAATGTTAACATGTCAATGTGAATATTCACATTGTCAACGGGCCGGGTCGGGCCGGCCTTGGGCCACTGGCCAATTTTATACTTTTATCAATGTGAATGTTAACATGTCAATGTAAATATTCACATTGTCAACAGGCTGGGTCGGGCCCGTCCCGAGCCACCCATGGGCCGTGGACGGGTTTCGGGCAGCCACGAGGCGCGGGCTAATTTTACACTCCTATCAATGTGAATGTTAACATGTCAATATGAATATTCACATTTGTCAACGGGCTGGGCCGGGTTTGCCCCGGGCCGCAGGAGGGCTTTTGGCTGCCCATAGGTCGCGGGCCAATTTTATACTCTTATCAATATGAATGTTAACATGTCATTGTGAATATTCACATTGTCAAAGGGCTGGCTATGGGCCGCGGATAGGTTTCGCACCGCCACGAAACGCGGGTCAATTTTACACTTCTATTAATGTGAATGTTAACATATCAATGTGAATATTCACATTGTCAACGGGCCGAGCCCGCCCCGGCTCGCGGGCAGGTTTCGGGCCGCCCACGGGCCAATTTTACATTCTTACCAATGTGAATTTTAAAATATGAATGTTCATATCATAAAATTACTAACCGTTCAAAAAATATTTATAAGGATATCAAAATTAAATATAAGGGTATAAGTGTCCAAGAAAATAGTATAAATTAAGAAAAATGACTTTATAAAATAAAATTATATATACATAAGACTAAATAAATTAAAAAATCTATTCATACACTTCTTAAATTAAAATCCTTCTAAATGAGATTTATCGATAAAAATCGCTCTAACTCCTCGCGACTAATTTAATCAAAAAGCGAACCTAGCAAACCACACCTAATTAATTAGTATACACCCATTGGTATATACAACATTATTCAATCAACCCAAAACCCTAATTTTGCAGCTCAATAAAAAGCCTTAACTTGATTATCAGATCAGTTCGTGAGCTCATCGGCCTTAGGTGACTTTGCTCATTTTGAACACAAAAATGTTGTCTGCGAGAAAACAAAGCGAGGATGAAGGAGATGGAGGTGTTGGGTATGCCTCAGCACAAAAACGCATCAAAATTGAAAATGCTTCTCGAGATAACGTGAAGAAAGTACTCGTCTTAAAACCCCCCTTCAAGTTTTGTATACATTTTCTACTCTTTCGACTCATCTCAGAAAGTCTACAAGCTTTAGCAATGATTTCGCTTTTGTTTAAGTAATTTAAAATCTATGAAGCATGATGATTCTAAAAGATAGTCGTATCTGCATTGGATATGGATATGCTTACGGATACATAAATTACACTACTTTATGCTAATTTTATGAGTATACTTTTCTTACCTCTAGCTCACATATCAAAATTATTAGAGAAAATTACCCACAAAAAAAACAAAAACAAAAACAAAAACAAAAAACAAATAGGGTTTGACCCACCCCACCACTAACCAATCAAATCCTACTATTTTTTTTAAAAATCATTTTAATTTAAACCGTCAATTTTAACCATTCATTAGTTATAACAAAGGAAACTTAGGCAATTTAGATAATTTAATCACTGTTTGTCGGTGGTGCTGGTTAGCAGTGGTGGCGATGAACTAGTGAAGGAATGAGAGTGGTGGCAGTAAGCTGAGGAATGGAGGTAGTAGTGGACGGAGAAAATGGATGGAGTGGTGGTGGCAATATGTTGGGGAAGAGTAGGGGTGTGATGGCCAATGGTAAGGGTGGGAGGGAGGTGGCTATCAACAGTAATAATAGAAAAAAAGTGATTAAATTATTTAATTTGCCTCTTCTCCATTACTTGTGATAGTTAACGGATACAAACAAATGGTTAGAATTGATATAATTTTAAAAGTTGAAAGTTTAAATTGAAACAATTAAAAAGGTAGGGCTTGATTTGTTAATACCGAGTTCAAACCTTGGGGGTTTTTTATACCGAGTTCAAATTTTTTTTTTTTTTTTTTTGTGTGTAATTTTTCCAAATTATTATGAAATTGAAAATAATATATATACTTATATATGTTGTATATTATTGGAGTTTTATTGTTTAAATAGATACGAGAATTTTTTTAAATATTTTCTTATTTCTTATCAAAGAAGAAAATAGTGAGATTATGTATTCAGAAACTGATTATTGGCTCTTCAATTACAAAAGGATGGTGTATTATATAATACTAAAAATTATATGTTTTTTTCAATGAATCCAAGCCACGTATCCAATTTGTTTTTAGATTTTGTTGTATTGTTGTATCCATATTATATCGTATCCGTATCCATGCTTCATAGTTTAAAACCCACTACATTACATTTTAATTATCGTTGAGGTTACTCATGCGTTCCTCTTAATCTGTATTATCTTGTTGTTCATTAATTTAGTGTAGATTCCGAGCAAGAAATGCATACATGGATCTGAATCTGACCAGTTTTCCGGAGAGTTTTGTTGTCTGATTTCTTGACTGTTTTCATACAAAAATACAATGATTCAAAATTTTCATTGTTTTTGTTTATGGAAACATGAAATGAAATTGAAAAATGAAAACGAAAAATTTGAAATCAATACGAAACATTTTTTTCTTCAGTTGTATGAGTATTTCTTTAATGTAAGTTACTTAAAACCCAGATCACTTGAATCGTTATTGCATTGGGCATTTTTTAGGTGACCCCTATTTCTAATTCTATCTCCTATGGGCTTGTGTTTCTTGAAATTTGAAGAATTGCACAAAATAATGACAAATATTATATTTGTGAGTCAATAGCATACTTTGAAATCACATTATTTAGTTATATTATCATTAGTTTTGTGAGTAAATAGCTTGTTTCTGCCAAGTTTTAACTGGGTCGTTTATGGGTTTTCTGTAGAGTTCCAACAAGAGACTGAAAGACGCTGAAATTTGTGTTCCAATAGTCTATGGAACAATGGCATTTTGGCTTGGTAGAAAGGCCAGCGAGTAAGATTATTTTATTCTAATAATTTTTTCCAATAAATTTATTTGTTTCTAGCTATGTTTGGTATGAATTCATCTAATGCTTTCCTACCAATTAGGTATCAGTCGCATAAATGGACGGTCTATGTGCGTGGGGCTTCAAATGAGGATCTGGGAGCAGTGATTAAACGAGTTGAATTTCAATTGCATCCCAGTTTTAGTAATCCTCTTAGAGTGGTCGAATCACCCCCATTCGAGTTATCGGAATGTGGTTGGGGTGAATTTGAAATAGCTATTTCCCTTTTTTTCCAAAGTGATGTTTGTGATAAGAAGTTGGCCTTGTGAGTGATTTAATCTGTTAAGATAATTTAATTTAGTTTGGTTAGCAGCACAATATTAATAGTGTCATAACTATTAACAGGTACCACCATTTGAAGTTGTACTCTGAAGAGGAATCTGGTCCTTCGTCAACCAAGAAACCTGTTGTCGTCGAATCTTATGATGAGATTGTTTTTCCTGACCCCTCAGAGGTTTTCTTTGCTCGTGTACAGAATCATCCAGTTGTATCTGTGCCAAGGATTCCTGCTACTTTTGACTTGCCTCTTGGTAAAAGTGCTTGCCGTGCCATGCTGTAGTCTCTATGTTAATAGTTACTTTAAGCGCCTTTTTTTTTCTCTTTTTTTTCAGTGCCAATAGAAGATGTGCATGAAAAGAAGAGAGGTGATACCAAAGATCATTTTCTTAGTCAGTGGTTCATGAATTTCTCAGATGCGGATGAACTATTAAAACTAGCTGCAGTTCGTCAGCAGGTCAGATCACTTTGTTTCTTTCTTCATTTTTGATGATTAATTATCCAGATTAGTTTATGGTGCTTTTAATTGCACACTTAAACTCTTTGTGCATGGCTACTCTGTTTCCTTTTGACAAAGGATAAACTCTTAACATCAAGATGGTAACTCTTACCTTTTGTCCAATTCATTTGTGTGCAAATCCTTTCAAGTTCATTTATAGCCTCTAATTAAGAAGGAAAATTGACTTCAGTTTAAAGTTTCTACACCCCTCATTTGGGAGGTGTGATGTCATTGATGGAAAGGGAGATTGGAGGAAGAGATCATAGGAGTTTTAGTTCCACACCCCAAAATTGTAGCATTGGAAGTAATGTAACACTAAAAGCTATTTTCTATTTTCCCCCTGCTGTTCAATGGACATTCTTTGGTGCTTTATTTATTTAAAAAACAACCAAAAAAAGGAAACGATGTTTATTGTTCCTTTACTTTTATTATTATTTTTTTTATTTTTTGATAATCTATTAACTTTGGGGAATTGGAGTCTTCACAACGTCCTATATTAACGAGCCATATTTGTGACATATGGTTGCTTTTTATGCTTCATTATCTATGCTGAAGTCAGGATTTAATGGACAGACTTTGATTTTCGGAAACCTGTTGGACAAAGTTTTCTGACAGCATCTTCTATGTCATAGGTGCAAGCTTATATTGTTAAGCTGAGAAGCCAATTGAGCCTGATTAAGGGGCTGCCTCAGCCAATGAAACCAGCACGTGGTTATTGAATGTACATGATTATGCCCAAGTTTTTGCAGTTTATGCATCAGTTGGTTTGTAAAGGACAACCGACCTGGATAGTGAAATATTATTAGCTCAGTTCTAGAAATACTGGCTCATTTTCCTTTTTGCTTCCTTTCTGTTTATACATAACCTTCTCTCTCTCTCTCTCTCTCTCTCTCTCTCTCTCATGATTGAAGATTGTATCTAAAATTTGCAATTAGTTGTTGCATTGATTGACTAGAAGAATATTTCTATCTGTAATTGGTCTCTAATTGCCTGGCTGCAAAAAAAATAAGGCAAATTTAAGTTTTCTTCTTGGTGTAATCATTTGTTCAAAATGGATACTTGAAATGAAGGTGAATGATGTTATTTCTGTTGCTAATTTCTTGCTTAGTATTTCTATGTTTCTTGGTGCAGTGAGTCAAAACTGCACTGATACTGTGGGGAATATCTTCAGAGAATCTTTGAGTTCTGGCATTAATTGAACTTTGGCCTGAAAAACCTGAAATAATAGAAGGTTAAGCCATGCAGCTTGTGGCATTAGCATGGAAATTAACACGGCAACATGCCTATTTATCATTCTTTGGCAATTAGCTCAATTTGATCTGATTTCATTATCTTTGCAAGTTAATCATTTTCAGCAAATGTACTGCAAAATCTATGTAGGATTTATTGAGGAAATCATAATCATCTCTGTCCACTCTCTGCAACTTGGATTATAAAAGGTACGGTCAGCCCTAAGTTACCAATTTATGTTATGATTTTGCTTTTTGTTTTTATTTTTATCTGTAGCTTCTGTTTCTGAAATTATGCCGTTCTCTCCAACTGACACATGTGGTTTTTTGTCAAATTTTTGGATTCTTAATTTTGTGTATCCATCCAGAGGGGTCTCTGAAAAGTATTGATGACGCTCTAATATTCTAGCATTCAAATGTTCTCAAGTTACCAACAACTTTTGTTATGATTTTATGGTCCCATATTGCTTTACGTCTTTGAAAAATAATATGCTAATAATATCATTATAAATTTCCAGATTTCTGAAGTTTTGTGTTCTCTCCAACAGATAGGTATGGTTTTGTAGTCAAAATGACATTGTCTTGTTATTTTGTGTATCCATCCAAAAAAGTTTCTCTGAAAAGGATTGATTGGAAGAGGCTCTAATACTCTAGTATTGAAAAGTTCTTTGGAGAAAGTCATTAGATTATCAAAAATTTGAATCTAATTTGTTGGAATTAAGCCAGTATCTCTTGTGGTTTGATTTACATTTATTCTCTTGGTTTAAAGCGTTTGATTTCTTGTAAGGGTGATTCACTCATTTTAGGAATATGAATAAATGACAGTAGGGGAGGTTGTTGATGAAATGAAATAATTGTGAAATTTCTTGCATGCGATGCATCCCATGGTACTTTTGTCTTTAAGTTGCAATAATTGAACCTGCACATGTAGCTTAGTTTCAGCGAGTTGCATGATGAACTGTGAATGCAGACATCCCAGGTTTGACTCTCACTAGCGGCAAATCTCCGGATTAATGATTTGTGGGTGATTGCATATATCCGATGGGAGTAGTCTCACCTTTGTTACCCTGAGCTACAAGTAGGGACAGTGGACACCCGTCATTAACAAAAAAAAAAAAAAGTTGCAGTAATTTGTATAGTGCCTTACTTCATCTTCAATTTCAATAGTTATGCATGAATGCTTGAATGTATTGTTGGTTCCGTGCAAGCTCAATATATATTCTACTGCAGTGCAGCATAGTTATTGTTATACATTATCTTGGTGCAGACTTGCATCCTCTTGCAACAAATTTCGTGAAAAATAGGCACCTTCACATGTCTTAGGATTTTGTGTTGAAAGTATATAATGGGGTTTATGTGGGATCTTCAATATGACATTCTCATCTGTTGAAGTTACAATGATCTCTCTCGTCATATCTTTCACTTGAGTATTGAATCCTTATCTTTTTCTTCCTTTTTTTTTTATTAAATTTTATTTACCCCATTTTCTGTATTTCTCTTTTCGGTTGAGGTTTGAATCCTTATCTAGAATCTACAAATTTTCCACGGAAGGCCAACCTTTGTGCATTCATTTTCTACTTTTAACAGATGGAGGCTGCAATATAGTCAACTAGTGGCTCTTTTCAATTTCTTTGCCAAAGCTAGTTGTATGTTGTTGTACTAGGAGTTACACCTTTGCTGCTTAAGTTTTTCAAATATGCTACATGGTTTTGGAACAGTTAGGTTAAGGTCCCATGAGCGCATTCCAAAACTCCCATTTTAGGACTTACAATTTTCAAGCTTTCTAGAAGTAGAAGGGAGTTCAGAAAACTACCAAAGCTAGAAATCTCCTCCACATATTTAGCATGTTGAGGAAAAATGATTTAGTACCGGTTCTTCTTACAATTAAGGCTGCAAACAAGTTGAGCCGAGCCAAGTAGTAGCTTGTTCAACTTGAAAACTTGATGAGTTTCAAAATGTGTTGTAAGTCTAGCTTGCTTATATAACGAGTCGAACACAAGTTGAGCTCGTGTAGCTTGTTTTGCAACCCTACTCATAGCTTATGTGAGTCCATTTGTGGGTTTCACATGTTGGTTCCACTGATTGTTTAGTACACCACTATAATATGTCAATTACACAATTACAAATTACTATGGAGTAAATCTCAAACACTTATTTATTTATTCATTACTATACATAAAAGCACTGGGACTTGCATTAGTAAATACACGACGGACCTACACCTGCCCGAGTATTGTGCAATATAGGATGCCCATAAAAGATTCCCAGTAAGTTTTTCAGTGCTTTGAGATGTCTAGTTTGGCAAGCTAAAGCTGACTCTTGCAGTTGGAAATGATCATGTAAGTCTTTTATTTTTGTCATTTTTTCACAGGGACTGGTGGTTGAAGAGGGAAGACAAGAGTAACATGGGCATCACATGCTCTGGTTGAAAGACAAATTAAGGTCAGCAACCTCAACTGAAAACGACTTTTGTTGATTACAGTAATGATAGATAGGGCTATCCACAATTTAGTACCTTTCTCATTCACAGAACATGGGTAGAGCAGCTGACTCTAGAAAAATACCATCCATCACCTGTTTTTTTTTTTTTTTTTTTCACATGCTGCCATTAATCTTGTCTGCTCCCCTTCAATTGTCATTTTTGTTTGGCAAAGAAGGCTAGACTATTTGTTTGAATGGCTCAAGTGATTGGTCCCTTGTGAAGTCTAAAAAAAATGGGGACAAAACTATGATCAAACTAGTCAAGTCAGCTGAGCTGAGTTTGACTCGGTCTTTTAGAGAGAGTATTTTTGTGTAATAGGTTCATTATGAGACTTTCATATAAAGCTCGCAAGTAGGACGGTGTACTTATTACATGAAATATTTTCTCACTTTTTTTGTTTCTTGTTTTTTGGGCAATGGGAGGGCTTGAAAGCAGGTATGTTGGTTATGGTAAGTTGAAAATGACATAAGTGAAGAGGGGGGAGACAGAGGGAGTGGACTATAGTTTTGGAGGCTAGCTCTCTCCTTGGTTGGCTCTACAACTTGGTAAGTTGGTGTCATCATAGCAGAGACCAAGATTGCACTAGTAGTTGTGGGTTGCTGCTCATTTTTAGTAGGAATTAATGTCTTCTTCTGTCTGCCCTGTTTCTGATCTCTGTGGTTTTTGGCTTCTAGCTAGGCTTGGCCACATGGGACATCATTTTATGTCGAAACATTCATCTTATGAGTGATCACTTATCCAATTTTCTGTAAATACTATAGACATTTATTAAATTATGTGATTAAAAAAAACCTTGGTTCCATCAAGAAGGGTGATTTCCAGTGAAGTGGAAAAATAGCTGCCTTTGAGAGCAAAAGGGCGCAAAAAACGTGATAATCATGTTATATTTGAATGGGGGTTTAGTTTCATGGCATTATTGTCCTATGAGTGGTTGTATATATTGTACATGATATGCATGTTACAAGTCTCATTTATGAAGAGAGAAGGACTTGTTACAATAATTATGTTCTTTTTCTGCAAACAAAATTAGAGAGATTTTTAATATATTTCTCAAACTATGTGAAAATATAATTACCAAAGTTTTTTTTTCCGAAAGTGTGTTGTTAAGTTTTTTAGTTCTTTATTTATATTTGAACTGTGATGAAAACATGATTATTAACCACATTTTTATTAAAAAGGCTTCATAGGAACTTTTTTTTTTTTTTTTTTTGCAACTATTATTAACAAACTTCTATTCAAAGTCTAACTTCAAAATAAGGAAATTTAATAGCATTATTAAATACAATGTTAAGTATATTTTCACGTGGTTTAGGAATGAAGCATAGAAAATCACTAATTTTTTTCAGTAGTTAAAAAAGACATTTGTTAACAAGCCAAGAATTAGGAGGGAGGGGAATAGTAAAGGAGTAAGGGATGAAAACTTGGGTAGGAAAGGAAAGTGGACAGGAAAGTTGTTTTTTTTTGGGATAGGAACATTGATGATATCATGCAGATACATATTACAATTTATTTATTTATTTATTTTATTTATTTATTTATTTTGTGTGGAATGAAACTAGCTTGTCTTTCCTCTTGTATGAAGATGCATATCATGGAGAGAATTCTCTGGATCTACTTGCTTTCATTGCACTTCTCCATCAACATGGCGAGGAAGCCTAGAAGAATGGCTATCCTATGCTTAGCTAGGTCCATTCCATTATTGAGGCTTAATGATTTTTGTATCAATACCCAAAATTCCAAAATATCTCAAAAAAATAAAAATAATAAAGGATTATCAAAGGCATACTATTTTTACGAAGAATAATAGAAGAACTCTTAAAATAAATCCAATCTAGAAGATAAATCTTCAAACTCTTTTATTTCTTTTGTAAGGACTATAGTTGTGGAGTTGACATCTATGGCTGTTATCTATGCTTATAATTTTTTATTTTTTAATTTTAAAATTTGTGTCACAATGTTTGGGGTAATTTTTAGTTATCTATATATACTATATATTAAGCAAAATGAGATTTTTAACCCCAAGGCTTGTGGGAGCTCTAATCTCTCAACCTAAATTTCTTGATTTTTTGATTTAAAAAAAAATAAAATCTTAGCAATTATTAACTTTTCCCAACTTTCAAGTCTTACTCTCATAATAACACTTTAATGCATTAAGAACAAGTATAAAAAAAATTCTTTGAAATTTAACACATATGAATTCCTTGAAAAGTCTCAATACATATGATTATTATCCCTCATAATTACACTTTAATGCATTAAGAACAAGCATAAAAAAAAAATTCTTGAAAAGTCCAACACATATGATTATTATCAAAATATTAAACTTTAATATAATATAATAAAAAAAAAGACATTTAATTCCTTGAAAAGTCCAACAAATATGATTATTATTAAAATATTTAACTTTAATATAATATAAAAAAGGGAAAAAAGAAGACATTTAAAAAAAAAAATTTAAAAATCATAATTCACATATATAGATAATTGTAAAAACAATCGGGGCACAGCACGGGTGATTTGCTAGTATGTTATATAAGGAAAATGGAGTTTCTAACCACACAAATTTTGTGGGAGCTCCAATATCCCAATATTAATTTTTGAGTTTTTTGATTTTTAAAAGAAAAACATCTGTATTTATTAACTTCTTTCAATCCATAAGCCTTTTTGACTTCTCTCATACTTATGGCTGCACCATTTTTAATTTCTCCCATACACTATGATTAGTGATAGAATTGTTAAATTATTTTTATAAAATATCTAAAAAAATTAATTTGTACATTTAATTTTTTATTTAAAAAATCAAAAAAAATTGAAAATATTTTTATTAAAAATATAAAAAAAATATTATTTTTTGTTAAAAAAATATTATTTTTTGTTAAAAAAATATTCAGCTAGTACTTTAAAATTACATTTGATTGTATATTTGGTTGATTTTTTTGTTAAATTGTTTTGTTTAAAAACGATTAAAATAATAATTTCTATATTTAAAAAATATCAAAAACAAATATAATTTTTTTAATTTTTTTAAAAAATAACAGGTTGCAATTGCAAAAAAAAAAAAAGAGAGAAAAAAAATTACACTATAAAAAATAATTTGTAAATTAAAAAAATATCTAAAACAAATATAAATTTTTATTAAAAAATAATAGGTTGCAATTGCGGGAAAAAAAAGAGAAAAAAAATTACACTGTACATTTCATTAATAATGCTCAAAAAATGTGCCAAGTATTTGTGTAAAGGCTTGACATGTATCCACTCTCAAATTATCAAGCGAATATAGATGAAACCAAAGAACTCAGCTTTAATGGTTAACAAATATTAGAAACCCGACCATTGAAGCCTAATAATTATTAATTAATAGAATTCAACAATTGAAATGTCTCAAACCACATCTCTTTCTCTTCTTAAATGTTCTCCTTTTTTTGGTTCATGCATTCATTCTAATATTGATAGAGAATTGGACGTGTGGAAGAGTGAGAGATATTAAAATTATATATTGAGTTATGTAATTGTTGTGATGAAAAATAAATGTTATCTTCCTCTTCTATAGTGATTATCTAGTTATACCTCCAATTAAAACGTTAAGTGTGCTTCTGCATTATCATTAAACGTTATTTTTATTTTTTTTAGATACTTTATTTTACAATTGTTTGTGCTTTGTATTATGAAATTTATTACATTTGTACTTGCTAAAACTATTGATAGACCTAATGCAAGAAATGCAAATAATTTCAATGTCATTCTTAGGATTAGAAGTACAAAAAATATATACAAAAAGTATATGAATAGATAAGATTTTATAAAATTTGTTTGTGAACCCCATTTCTTGAAAATCCTATAATTCATTTAGTTTTTGTATTATATTTTATGTTTAGTTTATGTACTTTTTTTATATAGTTTTCTTTATTTTCTTTAAAAGTTTATATTTAAAAATTAATTAATAAATAAATAAATAAATCATTTTCTATTTCAAACAATTTCATTTTTGTTTTTGTTTTTTTATTTTTTCTTAAAGTAGTTTTAGTTTTAGGCAATTACTTACTTTTTTTTTTCTTCTATATATTATAATTTTGTGCATTTTAAGTGTATGATATTTTCATTAATACACTCGGAGATGCACTATGAAAGAAATATCATGCGGAAATCAAACAACAAGAAGAAAATAAATAAAACAATACGATAAATGTAAAACAAAGATCAAAGATCAAAACACCCAAAGCAAGCAAACAAGCAAACAAACAAACAAATAAAATAAAATGTTTAACAACAGACATTTAAAAATTTGCAACAAAATTTAATAACTTTCCTTTTTGCTAAGAAAATTCTATTTGATACTAGCTAATTAAAATACTTTTAATAGATATATATATTCCTATTTTTTTTTTTGAGATTTATTAGAGAATCATTTTTTAAGTGTTTGTATCTCAATTAATTCATAAAATATTCTTGTATTCCAATAAGTCTTATTATTTGAACATTTGATCTACCAAATCCTAATTTTCATATTTAAAGTAATTTATGGACTTTTCTACCCTTACAAATATTTTTTTAATAGTTAGCAATTTAGTGATTTAAACATTCATATTTTACAATGTAAATATTCACATTGACAGTGTAAATGTTCACATTGACATGTTAACATTAACACTGATGATGTGAATATTCGTATTGACGGTGTAAACATTCACATTACGGAACATTTATACTGTAAATGTGAATATTATTAGGGGTATTTTAGTAATTATGTCACCCATAGGACTTATTAGAATATAAGAAAATAATGTGGATTAAATGGAACATAAGTAGGTGAAAAGGGATTTATGAAAAAATACCCCTTTTTTTTAAAAAAAAAAAATGAAATTAAAACTATATTAAATTCATGTAAGCATAATTGCTAGCCACATTTTTTTACTTAATGTATAATATTTATGTTGACAATCTTTTTCAAGTTTATTTTTTTAAGTATTCATATAGAAATAAAAAAAATATCGTTAGAAATAATTTTTTTCTTAATTTAGTTATAAATTTTGAATAAAAGAAAATATAAAATAATTGATTGAAGATATGTTGCATTTGTTATATTATTTTTTCTGTGTGCAAAATAAATAAATAAATAAAAATATTTAAAAATCACAATTCACATATATATAAATAATTGTAAACAAAACCTGTTCATAGTATAGGTGAAACACTAGTAATTTACGAAGCAGAAATTATTTAAATAAGTTGAAAAAATTATTTATTGAGAAAGTAGATAGAGAGATACATTTAACTTTTACCCCCCGCTAATCAAATTTCAACTTGCAATAAACCATACCAAACAGGCTCTATGTGAGAGATGGTGTACTCTTTCTCACATATACATGAAATTCACAATGGAGTTTACATTTATGAGATGACTCTCATCCAATAATACATAAACAACAATGTTATAAACTCAGAAAAAATAAAAAATAAAAAACTCCAAAAAAGTACTTAAAATTTTAAATATATGATCAGGATTCACTCAAAAAGTGGCCTCACAATAACAATTTAAAATGTGCACCATTAATTGTTGAACTGTTTTTTTGGTCTCATAGATGTTCTGATACACAAATCATGTGATTCCTTTGTCTCTTAAGTTTTTCTTGATCACATAATCTTCCACTATTAGGTGAGAGAGAGAACATGAGGACACCAAACAAACCTTTTGTGCATTATATAGTGGTAGACAGTTTTGGCACCGTCCGGTACTTTCCAACCACATAGTTGTAGATCTCTGCATAAAGTTCCAAATTGTGGTTGTTTGAATTGTTTCCAATTCCTTGTTTGGCTAAATCAAGCTATTACAAAGTAGGTAAGTTTCTCTATTATATACAGCTCTCCTTCAATCAGTTTGCGTGCATTAGTTTGTTGTACCTTTGTCTGTTTGTACCCTACTGGAACTTGCTTTGTCCTGTGGCTCTTATTTAATACCTTGGGCTACTAATGACTAATACTATTAGGGACGTTTTTAGGGGACCTTTTTTTTTTTTTCCAACCTAATTGAAACTTTATTTATTTATTTATTTTGGTCATGCTAGTTTTTAGAAATTTGTTCTTACGAATTTCTAAATACATGCAATCCTAAAAGAGTTTTTTTTTTTTCTTCATAAAAATAAACTTAAAAAGAAGAGAATAAGCCAAGCAAACCTTTGAAATTGTTTTTTTCTTCCTGTTTTCGATAATTTTATTATAAGATAGTACAAATATTAGCATGCATAACAAAAATTTATTACAAATGGATCTTTTCCATTTATTTGTATAGGTTCAAACATGGCCTCATTAGTGCTTTGCAGAACTGAATGAAAATAGAGATCCTTTGTTTTGTATACTCAAATGTGTCTCCTTCTCTGCCCTTTCATATTATTAATCCATATATTCACTTATAACCAAAATTAAAAATTTCAATACCATGACAAGAAGTTGAATAATGCTATATGTACCAATTAATGTATTAACTAGTATACTAACAATTGATGTAGCATAATTTTAAAGGTTTTGGATATTTGTAATTTGTATAATAAGTGGGGTCAGTAATAATGGTATAACACTAGTACATAAATTAATTGGTGCATATAACACCACCGCAAGAAGTTACAAACTCTATGCATGCATCCTACTCTTAACCAAGAAATCAGATAAATGTCAGAAAATTTAAAAATTTGAGAGAGAGATATTGGAGTGGTCCATGATGTCTAATGGAGAGGCAACAAAGTAAGGTAATGGCCAACGGGGGTATGAACCTGCATGCCCTCGTACAAGAACAACCTAAACACACCACCATGCTTTTACTTTCTTAGCCTAGCCCCCACACACTCCCACATGACTTTGTTTCTCACTCCCTCCTCTCCCCCCATAAATTCCTTCTCCACCCTTTCAATCCTCCCCCACCACCACCTTCTCTCACATTCTCTCCCTTGCCCTCTCAAGTTTTTCAATATGGCTCTCAAGAAACCAAACAAGCTTCCTCAAACAGCAGCACTGAAGCAAATCCTCAGAAGATGCTCAAGCTTTGGGAAGAAAAATGGCTATGAAGAAAGAGACGATGGCCTCCCTGAGGATGTACCCAAAGGTCATTTCGCAGTTTATGTCGGAGAAAACAGAAGCAGATACATTGTTCCAATCTCATGGTTGGCTCACCCTCACTTCCAAAGTCTACTACAAAGTGCTGAGGAAGAGTATGGATTCCATCATGACATGGGTCTTACTATTCCTTGTGAAGAAGTTGTTTTTCGCTCTCTAACTTCCCTCATCAGATGAAAATGAAAGTTTTGATGTCGTTTTTCATGCCAAATGAATATCAATGCACATAATTAAAATACCACAAAAAAAAAAAAAAAATTTGTGGTTCAAATTTATTATGAGTATCATGTGATCCGTCACACTTAATATAAATTTCTGTCAATTCTAATTATGTGTAACGGACATTTTTGTTTGTGGAACATTCTTGTAGTGAAGACAAGGTCTATTCTAATAATAATAATGACATGTGTTGAATTCCACATGTTCGGATAGCATCTTCCAATCCAAAGGAAATCAAGCCCATGATAACATGATGAGAGATCCTATCTCTCTCACCCCGTGTAACCAATAAATTATTCATAAAAGAAATTTAAGTAGTACTCTAAATTAATAGTAGTATTTGGTGCAATTTTTGCTTAAAACTTTTGAGGTCGAAATACTAAAATAAATTGATTATATGAAAAATGTAGTTGTTTTTAACTTTTACTTTCAGATTATCAAATTTCAATTTAATAAAGATCTACCAAACTGACAAATTAATTAGTTAGTTAAACTACCATGAAGACTTTAGATTAGATGGCGGGTCCATTGTTGGATACACATGGCTATTACCTGAGATTTTTTAAATACTTAAGATTTTTACTCACAAATATCAACATGTCATCTAAATTCATTTTATAGAAGAACCCAAAATACACCAATTAAATCTAAAAAAAATTCTTTGCAAAGTTTCTGGCTACTTAAATTTTTCCTTTCTACCCTCCATTATGCTACTTTAGGTGCACGTGCAGGTGGGACTCATTCAAATTTTTTTATAAGCAAAATAATAATAATTCATGGAATTAGGGGACCCTTTGGGAGAGATTCCTAAAATAATTCAATCCATTATGGTATACAGATTATTCACATATATTGCTTAATTTGAGTCCACTTCTTTCGTATATGTTGGACTTTAATTATCAAGAAATCTGTTCTCCCTTTTTTTTCAGGGTAAATCACAAAAACACTATTACGTGCCATTTCAACATGACTGGATAATATCTACATTTTAAAAATACTCATTTCCTAGAAAACATTTCCAAGACATTTAAGAAACCTGATCTCAATTTAAATAAACTTATCATAAACTATTAAAAAATGTTCTGAAAACCCCAAAAAAGTTTCAGGTTTTTAAAGTCTAGCATGTTGATATGCTGTTTTTTTTATCTGCACGACATTCTTTGGCATTGGTCTCTTTTGTTGTCCAGACATATAATTGTTATTCTCTCTATACATACATATACATACAATACTTATCTCAGCTTTTACCTTAAATTAAGTAGTTTTTGAGTGTTTGGTCTAGCTTAAGTGATCAACTAAATTAAGTAAAAAAAGTGATTATTCTTTGAGTGGGGGATGAGGTGCTTTTCTGAAACAACTTAAGCGGGAAGCTAGAATTGAGGGGCAAAATGACTTAAATGCCCTTTATCAATCTCAAATATTACCAAATGCCCACTATATAAACAACAATGAAAACACTATTCACTCCTCTCAGAGAGTGATTGGCGATTTTCGGTGTGTGGAGGTGATTTCTGGCGTTGTGCTCTCTCTCTCTGCAATGGGATTTGGGTTGCTCTCAATGAAGATGAACATTTGCAATATCTCTCTCTGCGCATGGTTGGGTCGATAGGGTTTGGAAGCGCGATGGCAACGGGGACGACGACACGACGGGATCTGGATTGCTCGTTGATGAAGATGAAAACCTGGGTTGATCGTCGATGAAGAAAAAGATCTGTGTTTCTACAGTCGCCGTCATCGTGATCTCAAGGCAAAACCCTACACATCACAATCTGAATCAGAGTCGCCGTCGTGCTGCCGTCATCTCTCTCTCTCTCTCTCTCTCACGAACCAGTTCCCATCTCCAGTGCTGTTCAGGCAGGGAACGGTGACGAGCGACGACGCTCCCTCTCTGCCAGTCTAGATTGCGGCAGGGTTGTAGACCACCGACGGCGTATAGATGGTTCAGGAAGGAAGAGAAAAAAAAAATTAAATAAATTAAACAAAAATAATAATTAAAAACAAAATAATAAAAATAATAATTAAAAACAAAAATAAAAATTAACTGTAATGAATTAATAAATTAAATAAAATTAAATAAATTGCACAATTTTATTTCAATTAATATCGATATAAATTTATTTCAATTAAATAACTTTTTTGGTATTTTCTTTGGTATTGTAATTAAAAAAAAAACAATTGCTCTAATTGATATTAATGAAAACAAAACAAAATAATAAAAAAATGAAATAACTTCTATTAAATGAAATAAAAAAAATTAAGTAACAATTGTTGTAATGAAATGTATCAATTTTTATATTAATTGATACTAATTATATTAACTTCTATTAATGAAATAATTTTTTTAAAAATTAAAACTGAAAAAAATGAAAAAATAACAATTTTTATATCTTATAAGGGCGAAAAAGACATTACACACCAAAAAGCTATTTTACAGCTTATTCAACCAAACACTACTTTGCTGATTAAATCTATAATCCCACAACTATACCAAGCATGTTAACAGCTTATGTAGAAAGTTATAATTTATAATCTGTTAAGTCATAATCTCTAATCAGTTTTCCACAGCTCTACCAAAGGGGCACATAGTAAGACATTTGGGTTGGCTGAATTGTCGGGAAGACATATTGTTGGGTTCAAATGCTTGATAGAACAGTGTTTCTCTCTGTCCAATGCCTACTACTATGTTTTTTCAATTTCATTCACTTGCCCTTTTGGGGCTTTCTATAGAATCTAAATCACAAAAACTATACACCAAACCTAACAAAAATCTTCACAAGTTGCCCAATGAAAATGGGCAATAAATAAATAAATATCAAAGATGTTTCCCAATCCTCAACTATGCATTTAAGTTTGCACAAGCTCATGCTTCCTTATTTGTCTGGTGGTCGTACTGACTTTTCTTCTCTTTCACATGTTCGCAAGATTTTTAATTTATTTTTTTTTGTCTGAATTCAAATCAAAATGAAGACTTCAAATCAATTGAGTTGTGTTCAGACAGGTCCAGTGCAGACCCAATGGGACGTGAGTTCAGATATTTTGGCCTGGAATAAATTATAAGAATTGATCTCAAGCATTCTAGACTTGGCGATCAGAGTTAACATCACGTCACAAGTTTAAGCTCAGAAGTTCAAATCACAGAGGGGCGTCACCTATAGGCTAAATTAAACTACCAATATATTTATGTACGAGCATAGTGATATGGTGTTGAATATTGATTTAAAGTGAACAAAGCCACCAATACGAAAAAAGATTCATATTCACTATATCATTGTTTTCTTACCGATGAAAAAGAGTTTAAGTGTTATGTGAATTAAATATTAAAGGAGCCTAATGTAATTACGTCAAACTAATGGGGTTTACTATATTTTCTCCAAACTTTAGGGGAGATCAATATAATTTACACCCCTTTTTATTTGTTAAGTCGCCTGAAATTTAAACTCATGAAAATTGATGTCATGGATTCAGGAAACGAGAAAGCTTCCAATGAATAGGTTTTACAAGCAAAGCTAAAACATATGTGTCCAGTATTGACTCTTGGCAATGTTTTCCCCATTGTTCCATCACCAAAATTATCAATTCTGCAGATTAGTTAGGAGTTCTCAGTGAACACTCATTTACAGCTCAGAAAAGTGGGGTGAGAAAGGGACAAGCTGACCACACACAAAAGGCAGCTATCCCAAACCGACCACTATAAATATATACAGAACTTTATCTCCAAAACTACCTTAGAACAGAATGAAGACTGCTAATTAAATACTTACCTTTCGAAGACGATGTTTCGCTAGCGCCAGTGCTGATGCAGAAGATGAGTTGTTTGCTTTCTGACTCAGTTCTCCGCTAGATGGACTAGATGAGGAATCATAGTTATGCATGGGGGGCTCCTCAAATGTGCCTCGCATATCAAAAGAAGAAGCTCTATTTATCTCAACCTGATCAAATTCATGCGAGTGGCCTATACTACCTTGGGGATTCCGAAAACTAGGCTTGTGTTTCACCGAATTTTCACCCATTTGAAGGGTCTCCATGTAGTGAGGCTCCATGGCATCAGTCTGGGGATGTATAGCTTTCAATTGCCTGCCAAGAAGATAAATAGTCTCCTGACACTCGGCAAGCTTTGCTGCTGCAACTGCTATCTCCCTCTCCTGCCATAATAAAAGAAAGGGCAAAAAAAATTATAGGTATGAGTTTCAACTTTCAAGTTAGGACCAAATCTAGTAGCAACTAAAAAACTCAAAACAAGAAGAAAGAAGAGGTATAAAGAAGACTTTAGGCAGAATAAAGGAGAAACCAAAACTAATATGTATGAGCTTGGCAGTCAGTAATTTCTAGGTTTTTCTCATCATCTTAAAAATTGTTAACTTTCTGCCTCCATGAGAATAAGATATGCTCCAAAAAATCAAATTTGTCTTTAAGTTAAATACGTCTAATGAACGCTTATTCCTGCTTTTTTGATCACAATGTCTACAAGTCAGTGCTTAAGGATGCTTATAACACTACCAACGGAATTAATGATCTGTGGATAATAGTTTGTTGTTCCTAATCATAAAAGGAAAGCATTCAATAGGAGCTTCATCAGTAATTTTTCCATTGAAGCATTACTGAATTTGTCTCTGTTATCAGAAATTATCTATATGCGTTTTGGAGCAGTTTCATAGTAAGAAATTGTTGGTCAAGCAAGATAAAAATGAAAACCCTGTTGTGTACGCTAGTGTTGATAGCATCAAAAAGGTAATCTTGCATTATGCTGCATGTGAACTCTATCATAATTGTAACCAAATCAGGTTCTTTTGCTTAGTTCGTATACTGGCCAACTGAAACAATGTATCTCGGTATGCAAAAGCATAGCTGTATATATAATGTCTGTGATTGCTAAGAAAGTTTTTGTGCAACAAAAACACTAAAACATATGAAAAAAAAAGTGTATGAAATCAACTCAAGTTTTTCAAAAGCTGGAGGTCATTTAGATTCTCTATACCTGCTTTCTTTTGATGTCATAATCTGCCGTTGGAGAAGAACATATTGAGCAGCTCTTCTTCCTATACAGAGATGGAAAGACGGGGATAAGTTGAAAATGAAACCAAACAAAAAAATGAATTATCAAATTCTACAAGAAAAGCAGAAAATATAACTGACATCTCTGCCACTAATGGTAGTCATAGAAGTGACATATGGCATCAGATTGGGTTAATGAAATTATACTTAGATCAAGAGAATTAGCAGATGCAACAATTTGTTGCTGCACATTTCACCAACTTTGTGGCACATTCATGTCCAACCATGACCACAACATTGTAACATTCAAAATACATCGGTCAACTAAAGATAAGAGAATGCCTCTATACATTTGCTCATTTGTCACTAGAACATGTTTTGAAAAGCAGTTTAATGCCAATCCTCTTTATGTGACACAAAAAGAAGTCAAAAAGGAATTAGGTCGGAGCATACAACCATAAAATAAATGTAATTGATATCATTGCTACCAGAGCATATAATAGAAGTAAAATGTGAAGCAAGAGATTTAACTAACAATATTCTAGTTTGAATAGTCTACAAAAGACCCAATAAGCAGGATGTAATGTCTTTAGCTCTATACTTCATCAATCTCAAGACTCCGTTGTATACAATCAGGAACAAAATTCACCAAGTGTGGAATACACAGGCTACGTGCAGGCAACAAAATTTACTCCATTGCCAAGCTATGTGTCCCAAAAACAAATTCTTAGGAAGAGGTTCAATGCTAACCTGTGCATTCGATCTTCAAGATCCTTGCATCTGGCCAGAGCATCCTGATGACTCCGCTTTTCTTCTTGAAGCATAGTATCCAAACTCTCTGTTTCTGTTTGTAAAATTTTCTCATTTTCTTCTAACTTTTGTGCACGGTTTTCAAGTGACTTGTAAGACTCTGCCATGCATTTGAGCTGAGTTTCTGCCAAACTGTTCAATTTTTTAGATGATGCCAGTTCTGATCTGAGTTCTGCCAGAAGCGGCACCATTTCCTCTAACTGCATCTTTGTGGACTCAAAATCTTGACTGCACCTAGCTAGCTCTATTGCCATTCTGTCTTTTTCTGATTTCAGCTGTTCCAACTCCAATGAGCACTTACATGATGTCACATTCAAGGCAAGAACTGGGCTTAAATTTCCTTCCATCAGAACCTCAGGATTAGAATTAGAATGAGAAATATGGCTACATCCATCAGGAAAACTCTGCCGATCAGAACAAGTGATTTCCCCTTCCTGAGCATCACAGCCAACACCAATGAACTTCAGTTCACTGGCTTGCACCAAAATGCGAGAAAGGTCAAAAACAAGGTCAATTAGACTTATTTTATTCAACAGAAATTTATCCACCGAGGCAGAGAAATCCTCATAATCTTTAATAAACCCATTCCCAATTGTAGAACAATCGTGAACTTGCATTAGGTTGCCACCAAGAGACAATACAAATTGGTGAATATGAGAAACAGCATTGACCAAGTCTTGATTACTAACATGCTGTGTATCAGTACCCAGTTTAACGCATTTAGTCAACAAGATCTCATTCTTGATGGTGTCTTCAATATCTTGAGGACAAGCCTGCAGACTGTTAGAAACATCATCAGGATGAAATTCCTTTGCAAAAGAATTAAACGAGTGCCATGCCATGGAATTTTTTATGTCCTGCATAGCATATTTGACATCCTCTAACACCTTCCTCATATCAGTGTCCTCAGATTGAGACTCAAGCACCATTGAAATTCTCGACAAGAGCTTCGATGGAAGAAACTGATCTATATCAGGTTCAAGCCCTTTACCTGAGCCTTTCATATTGAAGGAAACCTGATATGTTGATGGATTCCTCGCAGACTGTATTTTAGACTGAAGAGGTTCCTCATGCTTAGCAGCATCAACTGAAACATCATAGCTAGCAGTTTCAGTTCTCATATAGTTTGAACTGCTTGAAATGGAGATCTTGTCAGAAATATTTTCAGAATGTGCCATTCTCTCCATCTCCAGAAAGTCTTCCATTAATTCCAATGGATTGGCATTGACAGGAAGGTTTCCTTTGTCAGTGCGCTTGTCATATTCTAAATGGGGGAGATCAGAGATAGATGTCGTCACCCAAGACTCAGAAAAATTTCCATCATCATCAAAACCATACTCAGATAAGGAGGCTACACTCTGCAGATTGCTTGTGTTTTGACTTGAACCTTCAGTAGGAACCTCAAAAATTGATCTTGGTGAGCTCCTCCATTGATTCAGGATCTGTAGTCGTGCTTCTAAGTTCTTAATCCTGCCAACCAATTTAGCACACGTGTCTCTTGAAGACTGTAGTTCACCGTTCCGTCCAGCCAAAGCTTCTTTCAGCATCTTTGTTTCTTCTTCCATTGCCAATAATCGTTTAGTAAGGAACTCAGTCTCTTTATGATTAAGACGCAAGTTATCAGTGGAAAATTCTGGCAATGCAGACAAATGTGATTTACTATTCTTAACTGAAAATCTCTGTGCTACTGATCTAGGTTCCCCAAAATCATGACCCCAAATCTCAACTTCTTGCTTCATTTGTGCCAATGCAGCAGGACCAGGCAACTTCTTCCGAACAAGGCCACGCAATCTTTGGCACTCTGCTTCCAGCTTTGCAATTTTCTTGACACTCTCCAAATGCTGCTTGTTTGCAGCTTCTGCTGACCTTACACTCATGTTCTTTTCTTCATTGCGGATATCAAGTTCCTTGGAAAGTACATGCAGCTCATACTTAAGCGAATTGATCTCCTTTTCATATGATTGAATTCTTTCTTTCAGAAGCTCATTCTCAACCTCAGTTTGGGATTTTTCTTCATTGATCTTCATTAGCATACTAGAATGCTCTTGCAACGACCTAGAAAGTGCATCATTCTCAGCAGCTGATCTAAGAAGCCTTTGATTTAAGTCAGTTAGTTTTGCTTCAAGATCAAGCTTGATTTTGTCACATTGCTTGGTTTTGATAAGAACTACTTCATGCAAATTATGCTCATGTTCTTCCTTCACAATTCTTATCTGCCTCATGCACTCTTTAAGAGCACCATCCAGATGAGATGCTCGATCTTCAGCAGTAAGCTTCAAGAGTGTGACAGATTCAAGTTGATGTTTCAATGCTGAAGCTTCAGAATCAGCTTTTTCCCATCCTAGAATACATGGAGGGGTTCGTTTAGTAAAATTAGGAGGAAAGAAAAATTGCACAATGAGAGAACCTTTACATGTGTCAAAAGCTAAGACCTCACCCACACTTTGTGAGCATCATAAAGATAAAACAGACAAATCCATTTTCTTTCAGTTTTGAAGTTACAGTCAGAGACCTGATTTGTCTCCTTCACTCACATAGACCTAGAGAAACACAGGTTATGCCAAAAGCAAGAGACATTTGTTGTTCAAATTATTTACAGAAGCAGAGGAACAGAACAAGGTCATACCAGAAACAGCTTCTTCAGCAACTTTTGCATGTTGTTTCACTAAATTGTCCTTAGCAGTCATCTCTAAATTAGCCGCAGACAGCTTTTCTTTCAAATCCTTCACTTGATTCTGCCACATTTTAACTTGATCTTCCAATGCAATTACTTGATCCTCCAGGCCAGTCAAATGTGTATATGACTCTAGGGGAATTTGAACATAGTTAAACTTTTTGCAGTTTTCCTGAACATAGAAACAACATAAATCAGCAGCTAGGAACATTTACCTCCTGAGCTCAACCATACTAGTACGAATGCACCGCAAAATTTAGTCTGAGGGTATCTACTTAATGGGATCCTCTTTTTTTTCTGAAAATGCTTGATGGATATCCGTGTTGGAATTCTAACAGAAATATGTGGCGCAACAAACACGGATTAAGAATGAAATATGAGCAGGAGAATGAGGCAAAACACGACCACACAAAGACACAAGTTTTACATTGTTCAGCTGAAAGCCTATGTCCACTGCTGAAGACAATTCTAGAAGATTTCACTATGGAAGAGAAGAAGGTGGTACAAAGCAAATATTAACTCTCATAAACCCCTAACCCTCTTAAATATTGAGGTTCTCCTTCAGCCTTCAGGGAGGCCCCTTGGACTCTGAATTCAAGACAATCATACCAACAATATGTATGATAAAAAGTCCTGATTAGTTTTATGAGAAAAAAGCTATAAGCTCAGGCTCAGGGAGTTCTTAACTTGTGAATGGTTATCTAGATAAACACTATGGACAAGAAGCAAGTCAAAAAAGTATCAGGTTTTGGAAGAGCTGTAAGTTGAATATTAAATTTTAGATGTCAAAATTAACCTCCTAAGTAACAAACAGACCTGATCTCGTAGAGATCCTACTGAAGCCAAAGAAGCACCAGCTGAATCTGCTGCATCCACCATCTTCTCAGTACCAGTCTTATCAGATGATTTTTTCTTCCAGGGCCAGCTACGACGTTCCATCTCAGAAAATATACCCTGACATGCATGAAAAAGAAAATTATGGCAGAACAGAAAATCATAAATGGGTGAAATGATTAATTTGACAATGACAAAACTCAATGCATGAAAATATGCACAGTTCCTTCCAATATAATATGGGTAAAGCTAGGTCAAATATCAAGTTCATCTTCATACTGCAAATGCTTAACTTGATTGTATAAGCATGCTGCCATAGTTTGCAACCATTATGCATGAATTATCTGATAACCTAAGATTAGGCATTCTAACTATTATTACACTAATAAAAATGAATAAATTTTACTAAATTGAGGAGAAGCAAGTGACAGAGAGATAAACCCAAATATTTAAGTTAATCACTTCTACAATAGCATCAATTTCCCCACTGACAGTCCTGGCATAAGAGCCACATAAACTGTCAAAAAATTCCAAATCCACCTCATAAGGTCAACCACATAAGCATTGCACCATGCACTAAACAGTCTTGGGTAACACTGAAGACAAAAGCAGTGTTATTTACATAGGGTCCCTGACAGATTTCACGGAGAATATTTTGCACCTTTAATAATTTTTAGCAATTATTTGTGCTAGGTGGCTATAAATTGAGAGATTTGAACTGATATACACAATGTCAGGGGCTCACATTGGATGTTTACTTCAAGCAATCAGATTAATCTATCTTGAATAGGGTGCACAAGAATAGCCCTTTAAATTTTTTTAACAGACTGCAGCAAATTTTATATGGATAGATGGCAATGTAAGTTTCAGGATATGAGGATTTCAAAATTATCATTTAGGCAGAATGACTAGAATTTGAACCTCTAGAAACCTAGTCAACCATATGGAGTAACAAAATTTCTGACGAAACTACCACTCGAATGTCCATCGGAAGTCCTTATATGCATCAAAAAAATATCTTTATCCCCTTAAAAAAAACACATTTTTCTTTACTTTATGATGGTGACAGACACAACATAACTAATTCTAAGCAGAAACTCACCATTGAATTCGTTTAAACATGTAGATTATACTGTATCAGCATATCATTAACACAACAGTGGTAAACTTAACCAGATTAAATAAAAATCCAGATCATTACCTCTCTTGATCTAGTAATCAACTCGGATATTAATATCACAATGTATAAACCTATACACACATCAAGAGAGAATCCAGTGATTAAAACTGAAACAGATTGATACAGCAATCGAATCAAAATAATAATAATAATAATAAAAAAGAATGAATCAAACTTCCTGAACAGAACTAAAACACGACACTCGAAACAAGTAAGCACCGATTAACTGAGAAAAGTCTTAGTCAAGTACTCACAAACTTACCAGAACAAATGCAGATTAAACGAGGCCCGAGTTTTCAAGGATTCGAAGAAGAAATCGAAAAAATGTCTTGAACAAGTCGATGATTCTTTCGAAAATCAAAACGGAGAGAGTTGAGATTTGAGAGCTTCGATGGAGCTATCAAATAAACAATGTATAAATGTTTGTTCTGTTCTCCTATTCTATTTCTGTAGTAGACAGAGAGATAGAGAGAGAGAGAGAGAGAGAGAGAGAGGAGCGGGTATGATTGTGGTGAGTGAGTGAGTGTGTGTCTCGTATTGTAAGCAACAGACACATAAAAAGGCCACGACACGTCATGCGGGCGGATTTTGAATCCCTTGCAAGTTTACAAGTTTACCCCTGTAGCGGTTTTGATGTGCCGAAGACAGTCCGAGTTGCCATGCTTGATATCGATAGGGTTGTCACTTGTTTGTGTCACCGGCCGGCGGCCCCGGGTCTATCCTTGTCAATTTTATTTATTTAATTATTTATTATTTATAAATAATTTTTTTTTAAAATATATTTTTAATAAGTTGTTAAAAGTGGTGATAAGTGGCAGAAGTTGATCGAGGCTACTTTAGGAGTAGATTATTTTAATTAATTTTTTAATTTTATATGAAAATATTTATAAAAAAATATAGAGAATAATTTATTTTTTTGTAATAAATTTTGATTTTATAACTCTTTAAATCAATTGTCAAAACAACCCTGTGATGGCCTGCCAAACTTTTTTCATTTTTTAAAACTTTTTTTTTATTATTTTTTATAAGTTTATGCTTCGGTCAAAAATTATCCAGGCCCAATCTCATTTGAGTCAAGCCAAGCCGCGAACTTTTGAATCAAATGATGATGTTTAACTAGAAGTGATCACTTGAGTGTCTTCAAGATGTGATGGAGTGATTAAAAGGTTAATGTAAGTTAATCTAAGATAAAACACCTTTTTTCATTTTCAAGAAGTCTAAAAATTTTAAAATCAATTTTATGATACACAAAAATAATATACAAAATGAGTTTTTTTTAAAAAATAAATAAAAATTGAAAATTTACAAACCACACGAGTAGAAGTGGATTTCAAAAACAAAAAAATAAAAAACAAAACAAAGAAATACAAAAAAAAAGAAAAAAGAATTGATATGAAGATTTTGTCTGATAAGTTGTTTACAAAAATGATTTAAAAACTTTCCAACCCAACCCAGCTCAATTCGAAGGTGTATAATACAGACATGTTTGTCCTGTGTGTAGAAGAAAACGAATGGGTTAAACACGGATTGGTGATCGAACACGACCATTTGTCCTGTCCATTGAATTATCTATGAATATTAAATTTATTATTATTGACTGTTGGGTTGGGTTTTAAAAGAGTGGAGATTAAATCCTTATTTGGTTTGTTTTTGAGAAAAATTTTTGAAAAATTTTTTCAAAATTTTTTTTAAAAATTTTGTTTGGTTATCTACTTTAAAAAATCACTCACTCTCTCTCATATATATCAAATCAATCACTTTTTTTAAAACTCTCTTCCGAAAACAATTTTCCAAAATCATTTTTAAAAAAAAACAAATCAAACAAGTTTTCGTACTTTTTATCTCAAAAACTATTCTACAAACATAAATCAAACACACCATAAAAGTTTTAAAATTAGAATTTTAATTTAAGCTCTAAAAATATGATATAAAAAAAAAATTTAAACCAAAACCTACAAACAAACAAATCACATCACATAGGGGTTGTTTTGGAAGAAAGTTTTTTAATTTTTTTTGGTTAAAATAGTACTAAAAGGTAAAATACGCTAAAATAATTGATAAGACAAAATATCACATCAAATTCATAATTATTTTACTTTTTCTTTCACAAACATTACATTCAATTATAAAAAAATCCAATCATCTTTCCAAACACAAAAATTTTAACTTACTAAAATAATCAAAAACTAAAATAACTTATTAAAATAATAATTTTTTAAACACCCGCATAATAAATTTTACTGTTAGAACTCCTCGTAGAACTCTAAAATAAAGCTCACAATCATTTTTGAAAAATGCTTGGGAGCATTAATTAGTGCTCCCACTAATTACGTGGCAGTGGGTCCCGCCATTAATGATGTGATGTTTTGGTTTTATCTTCCCAAATACAAAAATTTTAACTTATTAAAATAATCAAAAACTAAAATAATTTATTAAAATAATAATTTTTCAAACACCCACCTAATAAATTTTACTGTTAGAACTCCTCGTAGAACTCTAAAATAAAGCTCACAATCATTTTTGGGCTTTAAAATCAAATTGAAGTGTGCTTGTCTTGTCTTTCAAGAAGCCTAGGAGGAGTAGGCGGAGAGGAGCGTTGCCTTTACTTTACTTTAACCACGTGCAGTGCGCTCCATCCTCCATTTAGCCTGGTGGAGCTGTACCCATGATTATCGTTTGCTGATCACAACCCATACTAACCTTCTTCACATTCACACAGGTGTGGGATTTGACATTTGAAGATTTGTTTTCCAAATCAATTTGAAAAATGTTCGGGAAAATACGAAAGTGTGCCGTTTTGGAAAGTAAGTTAAAATTTAATTTTTAAATTTTTTAAAAAAAATATGTAAAAAAAATAGAGAATAAATGTGACCTAAAATAATCAAAAAGTTATTTTTAATTATGTTTCCAAAGCAAGTCCAAATCTTCAAAATTAATTACAAATTATTGATAAATTTTATAAATATTAATAATTAATAATATAAATTTTTTTATATGAGTAAAGCCACACATCATAAAAAAATATTATGGAAAATTTCATAAAACTAATTCAAGAGTGATTGTATATACACAGTAAAACATTACAAACTAATCAAAAGGTGGAGAATTTTCATGAAATTTTTTCATGATATCTAACACTATTGTTTTCATATATTTGAATTTTTATTTTTTATTTTTATTTTTTTTGGTTTGATAGACACACTGGGCTGTAAATTCCCCAAAAATGTTAGGGTACTTTTTGTACTTTTATCATATTTTTTCAATTTTTTTATATATAAAATATAAATTTAAAATTCGTAGGTGCCAGTAGCACAAATTGTAAATAATTCATCTATTTTCAGTATAATGAAATTGCAATTCTAATCCAAAACCAACTTGAGTTACATCGGATTGCTTTGATTTGGTTTTAATGAAAGATTAGATTGGTTTTGAATTTGAAAATTTAAAATTAATTATGAATGATTGATTTGGTTAGAGCATTTTGGTGATTTTGAACCAACCAATTAGATGGATTGGTTATAAATTCAAAAACATTATATGAACATAAATGTAATTTGTGAAGGAATAAAATATAAGTACATAAAAAAATGTTTGATAATATACATATATTTAAGAAATTTTAATAATGATTTAGCATTAAAGCATGTGATGAAAGTAATTTTCAAAAATAATTTTTTGACTTTTTAATCATATTTTTGTATTTTTAGTATTTTTAAAAATATTTTAATTAGTTTTTAGTTTTATTTTTTAGATCCACTTAATATTGATATACTTAAAAAGTATAAAAATTGTACAAAAATCTTTAAAAAATTAATTGAATACAATAAAATATGAAAATGTACTAAATTTTCATATTTTTTTTAATATTTTTTTGTATTTCATGAATTTTTAAAAGATTTTTCACAAATATTATACTTTTTAAGTATATCTAAATTATGTGTATCTAAAAATAAAATAATTTTATAAATATTAAAAAATCAATAAAAAAAATTGAAAAAAATAAAAAACTTAATTTTCTGAGAAATAAATTAACTAAACAAGGTGAATATTTTATATATAAAGCATACCGAGTTTGGTTGATTGTTTGGATATTTTGAACCTTACATGTTTTAAAAATTTTGAATTTTTTTGGGTGTAATTTACAAATTATTATTTTTTTGTTTATTGTAAAAGGCGTGCAAAAAAATAAATAGATAATATAATCTAAATAAGTGAGTAAATCAATAAACAGTTTATTTATAGTTTGTTAAAAGGACCCGACAATGCTCTCTAATCGGATGGCAACTTGGGTCATGGGGAGGGGACGGGTTAGATAGGTAGCTAGGGGTGGATAAATGTGAGGCTGGGCCGATATTACATAATAAGAGATTTTATGTCTGCTAAAATCTGACCCGACCATAATATCGGATCTCTATATCTGTCCAAATTCGATCAAACAAATAATTATAAATCTCAAACTCACCCATCGGATTATATGTTAAAAAAATTAAAGCATTCCACAATTAAATCCAATCACACATTATATTTCTTAAATAAATATATTTATATCATTACAAATTGAACGATTTTGTACGTATATTGAAAGATCCTTAAATAAATTAAATCACACATTACTACAAACGTGATTTTCAATTAACAAAGATAAAGGTTAGGTTTGGCATAACCTATATAATCCATCTTTTTATCTTTTTTCCATCACATCACCTTTCTACTTTTCTACACATCTTTTCGTAAAAAGACAAAAAGTGCACATTTTTAGGACACCACAAGCCCACCCATCAAGTTATATGTTAAAAAATATATATATATTTCATAATTAAATCCAATCACACATTATATTTCTTAAATAAATATATTTATATCATTACAAATTGAACGATTTTGTACATATATTGAAAGATCCTTAAATAAATTAAATCACACATTACTACAAACGTGATTTTCAATTAACAAAGATAAAGTTTAGATCATAACAAAAACAGTATATTTTAATGTATTATAAATAAATAAATAATTTAATAACAGGCCGGAATGGATTGGGTTGAAAGTATAAGTTCTAAACCTAGCTTATTAATATTTCAAGCAAAAAATAATAGTCCAACCTAGCCCTTTGGGCTAAATAACCTTCTCAAACTATAAAAAATAAGACTAAATTTGGTGGCTTTGGGGGTGGAGGGGGGAGAGAGGGGAATGGGATGTCCACCCTATGGGTAGCTTAGTTTTTTGAGTAATGTTAGAAACTCTAAATGTTTTACCAAATGTCTCACATGGGCAGGGGTGTAAATTTGGTTCGACCCGACCCACCCGGGTTTGGGTCGGTTCATGTTGGGTTTTGCAAGCTCTCGTCAAAATTTAGGTCAGGCCACTGGCTAGAAAATTAGGCCTAGGCCTAGGGGGTATTCAGGCCTTGGGCGGCCGGGACTTAGGCTCGAGCTTGGGCAGACCTGAACAAATTCTTTTATTTTTTTTTCTACCAAAATTTTATTATTTTACACTTAAAAAAATAGTAGGCCTTGAACGGGCCGGGCTTCAAAATGATGGC